GATTTGAAAAGACAAGCATCCAGCGAACGACATCAGCGTTTTACATACTTTTATTTTATTTGGTCAAAACGATTACAGTTTCAACTCGTTTACTGATTGAGAGGGCTAAATAGCCTCATGTCATATGGAAATGACTTCTCACTGTGAAAACAAAATGAAAGACGAGAGTCAGGTAACATAAACGCAACTTGTAAAACGAAGCTATCGATGAATAAATATCTCGAACTAAAAGCGAGTAGACCACTCGCATATACCTGCTTCCCAGCTAATGTGCTTACCGTTAGTTTGATTTTGCAATAGCTGCTTATGATACGTTCCATTTTTTTTTGATTGGCTAATGAATTTGTTTCGATTTTAGTAAATGGTCATTGTAACTCGTGCCACCCAACTGCACCAAAAAAAGACCATAGTGGGCTCTCATGGGTTCTTTTGGGTCTCTTTCATTGTCCTGATTGGCTTAAGTGATGGCTCTAGCTTGGTCTTACGGGACTCAGTCGAATCTCGCTTTAAACCCATTTGACCAGTTAAGTTGGTTGGTTCGTTTTCTCTGCAATGTGACACTTATAGAAACCTCACCATCTGACAACAGACTTCCCACGGTTGGAAACAGGAGTCACCTGTCGGGGGGAGCCCAGAGGAACAAAACGGTCCTTCCTCACAATCGAACATGCATGCCATTCGCTTCTCCTGATGGTGTGTTTCTGCTGATAAACGAATGAGTTTAGCTATAGATTTTAAGATTATTTGAATACATCCAGCTGAGTTGCTCTGACTGAATCTTTTAAAAAAGATAACGTGGCTTTACGAATAAAGAACGATTTCTTAGACTACTGGACGAGACTACTGTTTCTTTTTTCCACTTTAAGTTCTCATTGGCTGATAATAACACATACCTTTCTAATAATTGTGATAGAAAAAATCAACACAAGAAAAGCTCACCACCTTCAAGCGAATCATCAAGGATTTTTCCGCCCAAAACCATGCCACTTAACAACACAAAAATGAAGAACTTTGCTAGAATAAACATCTTGAGCAACTACAGAGAAAAAGATACATTCAGCAAACAATTAGTCACACCCTACATGAACAAAAAACGACAAATAGATGGGCTAGCTTAGCCAAATGGGACAGTTGCAAAAAGTACTTGATCCGTTTTACGCGCTTATTTGGTCGATCTATGACCCAGCACTTGGTAGAAGGCTTGATATTCCATAGCTGCCTATTTATTCTACCTGCAACAACCAATCAGGCTACCAAAGCTTCTCCTCTGAACGTTTCTGAGAGTCTTGTTAATTTATTTATTTATACTTATTGAAAAGGAAAATTCAGGAACACAAAAACCGACAGAAAAACAAAACCACAATGTTCCCTCCCTCGGCTTCAGAGCCGGGTCAGAGACGACGTATTTAAAAGGTTGCCCTTTCGTTAAATCTTAAGAGCGATGGTCAGGAAATATCGACCAAAATCTTAATTTCGTGGCAAGAGTTGAAAAATCGCTTTCTTTCGTTTTTTTTCCATAAATAGCTTTTAGGTGGATAAGATACCTGATGTGGATTGTTCCCGCCAAAAGCTTTTTATTTTTTAGAAAAATTAGAATATCGGTTTTTGTGGTCGGAGTCACAAAATTGGCTAATCATTTACGTGAAATTTGCATACATCAACTTGCCTCTCGTTCGCAAACAAAGTCGTTGTAAAAAATTTGAATGAATTACTGTCATTTCAAAACCTTCGCGTGAGGCGCTGTAAAGGAAACCCGTGCTGATTCTAACATATTATATAGGACAACCTTAAATCCCTCTAATGACATAGTTAAAAGGAAAATCTGAAATATACCACATAGTGAAAAAAACATTTGAATTAAGGAGGTATTTGCGGGATTTTTCACGTTTGAAAATACAGCACTTTCCTGCGCCTTGTTTGCTATTTATGAACAACAATAAAGATCAGTCATATAGTTTCTGGGAAAGTACGGCACTCACTCTATCAAAATTCGGTGTCATGATCCTTTGAATCGTTTTTCCTTGAAGACCAAAAGTCAGTTTAAAATATCAATTTCACATTTGCTTGCGGGACCTTTCGGGATCGTCGCGGGTCAAATTCGTTTTTCTCAGTTTTCTCAGAATTAAAGCGCTCCGGAAGAAAAAGAAATACATTAAATTTCTTCTATTCTTAGTAGCTTTTTATAGTCAGAAAATAAGCGAAATTCATTTTTCAGCTCTCGCCACTCAATGGTCGATATTTCCTGACCGTCGCTCTTAACCGGTTATTTGTTAGTTTACCGTTTGCCATCGATTGAATGCGTTTTAAAGGAAACTAGCTCTTGGGCGTTATCCAATATATCAGTCTAAAACCTGGAATCGCCAGTAACACCGTTTTAGCTAAGCCATGGGAAAGTTAGGGTAAATTCTTATATACATTTAACTGTTAAATGTTTTCCTCACTTGTCACAGGAACGATCAACTCAAAGTCCTCAAACTTCCTTCAATTGAAGAATAGCTTGTGGAGAACTGGGCACTTCGGTTTTATGAGTGAGGTAGTGGTTACCAGGGATACTTGATGGCGAATTAAGAATGCTTCTATGAAAACGGTATGAGAATAACGCCTCAAATATTTTTGCTGGAAGCTAGGAATAGTTTTTTTTTGATCGATCAATGACACATGTTTCCATATTTTGCTTCGATGATAGCATCATACGAACTCCAAATTAATGTGGGTTTTTTTTTCCAGTCGCAAGAACCAGTCACCATGGCATGTACATCCCTTTGAATACATCCTAAGTTTAAGCTTTCATATATCTGTTTGTCAAAAACGAGCTAACAGATCTATAAAGTTGTCGTTAGTTTTATACATGTAAGAATTCATCGTGTCTTGCGGCTTTTTTTTGGCATAAGTATGCATTTTGTAATCACTTACTCATTTTGTTAAAACAGCTGCGGCATTTTGTAATAAATACGACCTACACACTTCGTAATTAGAGCTCCGACATGTAATAATCGTCCGTCTACGCAATTTGTAATAACATCTTGACGGAATTGTACTAATCTCGACTTTATCATAAAAGCATCTAAGCAAAAAAGAAAAAAAAATTATATTTTTGAATTTAGTGACGAGATATGACTATGCGTAAATTATTTCAAAATGCGTGGTTATTACAAAATGCCGCAGAACACACTGAATTTGCCGCACAGTTTCGGGCACGTTTAGTAAAAAGTAAGGTGGACGTGGTGTTGCCATTGATGGCAATTTCTTGTGTAGAGAAGATTGCAACCTAAAAAGCAATGAACTCCCGAAAATTAGCTTTTCTTCAGTTCTTAATTGTGATACTTTTTTTCCACTTTTGATATGGCTTGAAGAATTATAAAAGAAACGCAAAACAAAACAAAACAAAAAAAAAAACAAGCTTTCAACAAAGGAGATCAATTGCGTAATGAAATAATTTTTCTCAAACATAAAAGTTTTTTTGTTTCAGACTCGATCTAGCTCTTAATTTCAATACATCGCTTCTCATCCTTAAGGATCTTGATTAGGGTTTTATTGTATTGTTTTTCATTTTTTTTACCACAATTTTGACCGACATAACAAACAGGTGTTATACAAATTGAAAACTCATGGTGATATCAAAACCTATTTTCCCATCAAAATCATATTAATTCAATTTCCCTAAAGGATCTTACGTTACTAAAGGAAATTAGTTATCTCCAAGGAAAATGGTGTTCTGTTCGGGAGGTACTTTCTTGTGGCATTCTTTCGTCTATAATATCATGTTTAACTTGGTTTCTTTGATAGATTTCCACTTCTCAGCAAATAAACAGCAAAGCTTGTAGACAGACAGGTTTATTCGAGGATGAAGGGGGCAATTTTCTAGAGAAACTGCGGTGCTGCGTCGTTGGGGAAATTTAAAAGGATAACTTAGCTTTATCAACTGAGTTGATAACGTAAATTGAACACCGTAAAGAGTTAATAAGCAGACGTTTTAAGCGTTATAGCCTATTGTCAGAGCGAATGACACAAACAGTCTCACGTCAGTGTAAAGAAAAATATAAGAGCTATTTCCCAGTCAATTTACTTAAACGTATAAGAACTTTAACTTCTTGTCATTTATTTTTTATCCCTGAAGGGAATCAACATTATAACGTATATAACATTCCTAACGTACTAAAAAGAATCATTTACTTTTACTGAAGTGTAATACACATATTCTATTTCTTTCAAAATGAACAGAATATTTTCAACAAAGCTTCTTTTGCTGATCAACAATGACCCCAGATTCAGTTCTACTTGTAAACTCCCAACTCTGCTGACATTACCTATTGGTTTAACAAAACGAAACTGCAGGTATTTAAGAGCTTTACCATTTAAGAAGCGAGAAAACACACTAAGAACCCTACACTGTGCCCTGGTAAGGGACTGGTCATTAAACAACAAAAAGGGGGGAGGGGGGGATGGGCGGATGGGTAATGGGAGGTTGAAATAGTATAGCTCCATTTTCTGCATTAAAAAAACACACACACACACACACAACCCACGATTTCTCCATTCGCTGTGACGAAGGGCTAACCCTCGAAACGTCAACTTTGAAACTCCTAACGAACAATAAGAGGACGAGTAAACAAAGAGAAAACGCTGTAAAATCCAAAGATTTTAATGGAATTTCTCGAAAGTGGCGACGAGAAAAGTGAAATAGATCGGAATGATAGTTTTCATTCTGTGCAAACTATTGAATATTATGGAGAAAAAAAATGTTTTAGTTAAATTTTGTTTTTTGTTGAATGAGTGCTCTGTGTCAGAACCCACCCCAAAAATTTTCTCGACTGGAGAAGCAATTTTACCAAGATATATCAGATTACTAACGACGACGAATTCAGGCAATTTTTATTTAAAATATTACACAAGATAATCATTATCATAAAAGAACTCAAGAAATTTGATATTGCAACCAACGACCATTGCAATTTCTGCTCCAGGGCAGATTCCATAACGAACACATTTCTAGAGTCTGATGTCTCTATTTCAACATATTCAAGTAACATTAAGGAGTTTAACGATATACACAAATTGAATGTGAGTCCTCAGGACAGAAGTTCTTATTCAATTGGACTGATGAAATAGCTTCGTTGACCTCCATCCATGAGCACAGACTGGATCTTCTCTTGCTTCTCATGGAACACTATGCTTTTTCGTGTAAGGTTTTTCTGAGAACCCCAATATTCTTGAACTTCAAACCAAACTCCATACGCAATGGAAAATTGAACATTGTTCATTGACTTGATTTTGCAATTTTCCCCCTTATTATAGAAAATAATGTAGCAATGCAATAAACCAAAGGTGGGTAATGTCAAAGCTGTAAATGTTGCAAGTAGCGTAAGTAATCGAGTTATATAGCAAGTGGCTTTACTAATCATACTTTTGTGTAAGTAGTTTAGGGTTAGTATATCAACTATTACAGGCGTTTGCGCACTCAGATTGCGTCTCATTGCCGGTAGCGTTATTTTCATTATGGCGGTGAAAGCGGCAGAAATTGGCAAAATTTGACGGAACATTCTGCAAAAATTAATCCGTTCCTTTTTCCTTTTACCATAGGTAAATTTAATTTGATTTATTCTGAACGTGTAGAATTACTTTTTGTACGTATTTGTCGCATATTCAGTGGTTCCCATGGACAATCGCAATTACTGGTTTTTTTTTTTTTAGTATGTAATTTAAGACCGGGGTTTTCGAGAAGGTCAAATTTGATGTTCGTCGTAGTAAGAAGCCTTTCAAAGATTTGGATGACCGTTTTGATCCTTCTTGAAAAGCACTGACCAAACGCTCTCCAACGGTACTCGATATGTACAAGATGGTCGTTTCACGATTAACCAACGCGATAAAAGCCAGTAATGTTTAAATTGAGAACCTTCATATCTTGCAAATTTCCGTCTGAACTTTCGAGGGAAAATCCAGGAGCAGAGTCTACAGAATATCAATTTCATGTCTCATTACCTCATGTGGGACGTCGAGGGTCTGGTGCGAGCTATATAAGGGAATGATTGGGGTGCGTGGGATGAAGGGCGCTGTGTGGTCGGAGAAGGAGCACCAACATCCTGAGTTGTTGCTCAAAGAGTTAGGATTTTTCCTCTCCTATCGTACGTATCAGGCTTCACAAAATAGGATAATAAGAAATTTACTAAATAACCTCTCTTGAAATTATTATCATGTAATATTTCTTTCTGACGGACCCCTTTTACCAAGAAACCTCTAAATGGCGAAAAAGAATTCTGGAGGAAGCCATAGGGGTAGGTTTCACTCAAATATTGCATCTTCCTAAGAGACCTAAATGGCCTCTTCAATAAGTTTACACATGTAATAGGTTTGTAGTCGTGCCCTGTTCTCTGCCTTATTTAAAAGTATACTTATTCTTTGTTAAGAGAGGGTGGGGTTTGTGATGCATGTGACTGGGGATGGGGTGAGGGTATTTATTACTCTTTCCAAGATTTGTGTCAACATGCATCCATAATTTAATACCCAGGCCCTTTTTGGCTCTGCTGTCAGGGTGAGGCAGGACTCCCACAGGGACCTTCTAAGCATTTGACATGATTGATACGCATTACTAACATTATCAATGCACCTTCAATATGTAAACTGTACCTGTTTGACTTCTGTCAACTAGTAGTTTGGAATGTGACGGCAATGTGATTGTATTAAGGCAACAACTCTGCTTTGATCATTGATCACATAGACAATTATGACAGAAATATACCAAGTCCAATTTTTCCTTCCTAATTGTTTTTTATTTTCCTAATATTTATTGGACCTCTTCCAAGATTCATTGCATTTAGACTAAGTACTTATGAAAGACTGTGTTTCCCTTGCAACAATCAGTATTTGACAAGAAACACAATCATTTTCAAGGTAATTAGCTATGTTGACTGGGGGGGGGGGGGGGGGGG